TATTTTACTGTCTCAGATTTGAGACTTCCCTTTTCGTCGCCTCCTACGACTCGCAGGGTCACGGTGGAGGTATTCGACCCTGCCTCCACACGGGAGTTAGGCAGTGTAGGCAGTGTAGTTCCCTTATAAACCCTCAGCCGGACAACGAGAAAACGCCTCGCTTCCTTGTTGCCTAGTCGCCGTGTTTACAGGTGTTGCTGGGCAACGCTGTCAATAGTTGTTTACTGCTGCATAGCAACCGCGGCATCCCCAGCTATGTCAACGCGGGGGGGGGGGCGAAGTGTTGACTGGCCTGTTACCGTAGTAGCGCCAGCGTTCTGATCTTGTTACATCACCTCTGGCAGGGGAGGGGATGTCCTCCATAGTGCAGTACGTCGCAATATTAAGATGGAACTTAAAGAGACAAAATAGGATGATATGGAGTAATCTGGCTCAGGATAGGGACCAGTGGAGGGCTCTTGTGAACATAGTAATGAACCATCAGGTTCAATAAAATGTTCAGATTCTTGAATAGCTAAGCAACTGGAGGCTTCTCAATAAGGGCTCAGCTCTATGGAGTTAAGTTATTGCTGCTAAATTAATTTTACACAGTAAAATAAAAAGCACATTGTGCTTTTAACATATTATGGCCACATATATGTGTGTGGTATATTCACCACTATCCCAATCAACCAAAGAACTTTACATAAAATCTTACATCACATTCTTCTGGCAACATTAATTCTGTATGAAAATGATGCTAGAGGACACCCAAAGAGACTGTTATAACTGCTAATAAAATATTTCGTTTTCAAGAGTTAATCTAGGAAAAAATTGCTGTATAATAAAACAATGCATCAACTGCTTGTAGACTTCACAGACGTCCATGATACAAGTACATAACTTAAGTGAATCTGGAACAGTTTACCAAGAAAGCTGTTTTCATGAAATATGATGTGTCTATAGGAATCTAAATATTTTGTGCAGGTAAATATCCTTTTATGCGTTTCTTGTTAAGAATGGCTTAAAATTAAGGGATGTTGTACTGCCGTTTGTGTTAATTTTGCCCTAAAATATACCATCAGAAAAATAACAGATGATTCACTCATGGATCTGAGCCCTTCTTGAGATCCTGTCAATTGTGCCACTACTCAGGAACTTCCAAGCATTTTATGGAACCTGAATGTTCATTATTGTGTTTACAAGAGACCTCCATTGGTCCCTGTCCTGAGCCACCTCAATCCAGTCCACATCATCCCACCCTATCTCCCTAAGATCCATTTTAATATTGTCCACACATCTCTGTCTTGGTCTTCTAGTGGTCTCCTTCCTTCCTGCTTTCCCACCAATATCTTATATGCATTCCACTTTGCCCCCATTCGTGCTACATGCCCTGCCCATCTCATCCTCCTTGACTTGATTATTCTAATCAATCTCCAATCTCCCGTCACTTCATCTCGCTTCAATCCAAATATTTTCCTGAGCACCCTGTTCTCAAACACCCTTAGTCTATGTTCCTTTCTCAATGTCAGAGACCAAGTTTCATACCCATACAGAACCACAGGAAAAATTATAGTCTTGAATCATATGCTGAGGTCAGTAATCAATGAAGGATGGAGAAATCCAAAGGTGACCAACACTTTAACAGATCTGAAATTTCCTTGGTATTCACCTGTCTGTGGGTTACATTCACAGAATAGCAGTAACATTTGCAGACTGCTGCTAATATTATCATCAGATACACAGACATTCACAGCTTTATGATACTCTCCTGAAGGATTATCATGTGAATATCTGTACTCATAATAGTTCATGTCAAGATTTTGTTTTTTTAATTGAGTATATTTCCACGGTGCTATTTACTGTACCTCTAGTACAATACAGTAAGACCAACATTTAGTCACTGGTTTCTTTGTTTCCTAGCAAACATATCCCTGCCTCTCTGTGATCATCACTGCTTCCCTATGTAGTTGTGCTTCACACATCAGACTAATTATATAGACTTTCAACTTTACATAGTTCTAAAAAGTGAAAATAATATTTATGTAGAACATTGTTTTGTCAAACTCCAAAATTCTCTTAGATACTGGTTTATTTCTTTATTACAGTCCATCACAACACAACAGAAAAACAGTTGATGTTTAACAGTATTCTGCTGCATTTAACACAACAGGATGCGTTCGTTGAAATTAAAAGAAAAAATTACTGGTTTCTTCATTCTTGGAAGTAAACGAGAATGCTAATGATTCCAGTTATGTCTATTCAACATTCCTGCACTCTCCCACCTAGTGCTGAAGTCTACTTATGAGGTGGAGACACCTACATGTTGGAATTGCACTCATCCCAATATTAGGATGACAATGTGAATGTAACATGGACACTGGATGGCAGAGGGAACTACATCTTAACTTGGGCCATTAACCAAGATGGGGGCATACCAGTCTTTACATTTACAAAGCAATACTTTGGCCAGAGGGAAAGGAAGTTACACGGTAACAGCCAACACTTGATCCAGCTAGTATGGAACATGAGACTGTTATTAAAGTGGTCTGCTAGGCAACCTGGTACTCATATATGATTAAAAATGATATCCTCAAATATTTAAAAGTCTTAACAGTACAGTATATATATATTTTGTTACATAATCATTCACTTGTTGGACAAATTTTATGCTTATGTCTTTCAACAGAAAAGTGCAGGTTTTCTGATGCTCTGTATTTACTGAATGTTTATTAGTGCATCAGCTTTTGAAGCAGAGGTATAGCAGCACTAAATATAATCATACTGACTGGGAGATTTTGTTACAGCTCTGATCCTTGGACATTCAGATGCTACAGTGTGTGACTGGCTGCATCTGTCCCATTCCTTGCCAACACTAACCCCTATGTTACTGCATCGTGTACACAATTTTAAATTTTAAAACATGGTAACTAAGCACTTGGGCCTCAACATGCACCCACGTGACACATCATACATCATGTATGATCTATAACTGAACTTCTGACAAACTAAATGTTTTATTTATATTTACCAGTTCTACCATAAATCTATCTATCATGACATAATCAGGCCCAACTTCTTAACAGATTTGTTTGTTATAAGAATATAAAGCTAAGTTCAAATTTGAAGAAAAATGTACATTCTTCATTCTCTGCCAGTGAAACTATAGACCTCCCTATGTAGGAAGCATAAATATGTCGGAACATCTTATGAGCAGAAGAGGAATAACTAAATATATAAGTTATCTTGATACACAAACAGAACTAGGCATAGATGTTAAGAATAACATACCGACTTGGAGCTGTCACAATAGTGACTAGAAACAGTATTATCTTTCAGGATGTAATGCCATATAGTTTGGTACACAACTACTGACTGCTTTGTTTGCTCCCTGCTTCTTGCTGGTTCCTTCCTTGGCTTACTCTTTAGGTCTGATGATGGAGGCACTACATTTCTCCAAAAGTACAGTAAACTACTGGACTACACAGTGATGCATCCCAGAAGGCAGTATTCTTCACTGCCAATTACAGTTTTGCTACATTACAAATGCCACCTTATGAAATTATAATTAATTAAACCCACAATGGAAGAATAAATATAAAAATCATTTAAAATTAATGTGATGGATATAATGCATTAGCTGTGATTGAAAAATGATGATGAATGGTGAGTTGGTTAAGGATTTGAAATAAAGTGAACTTAGCCTCTTAAATGGTAATATGATAGTAACATCCCAGCATGGTGGTTAGTCGATGGCTTCCCACCGCGGCGGTCCAGGTTCGATCCCGGGTCTGGTCAAGTGGGATTTGTGGTGGACAAAGTGGCGCAGGGGCGGGATTTCTCCGAGTACTTCGGTTTCCCCTGCCAACCTTCATTCCACCAAATTCTCCATCATCATAATCACCCGGGGAAGGCTACAATAGGCCAATCAGTGGTCGCAGTGCCGAGTGGACCCAGTTGGACTCTACACCCCACTAAGCGAATTAAAAAAAAAACATCCCAGCATTAACCACTGGATTTGAAAATTACACGAATCAGTCTCGATATCTGTTGGTGCTGCTGGAAGTCGAAATATGTTTCCCAGGAATACAAATTGGGAGCATTTAGCTCCATGAACCCTTCGGCCTCTACAAGCTGAATAACATACGATAATGGATCTGTGGTTCTTGTGGCGATAACGATGAAGAGTATAATTTGACTTACCAGTGCTATCGATCGAATTAGAGGTCCGTGAACTTCTACTCTGTGAGCATGCCTCGTTGTTTCCTTCAAAATATGCATTTAAATTATTTATTGGTGTTTAAAAATTGGCGCTTATAATACGACTGTTCTTTGAACCTGTATTATGAACCAGGCGTATAGCCAAAGAGACGACCACATATTGAGGAAAGTTGCTTACCTAAAAGCTTCAAATCACATTCAAAGTAGAATGAACATTCCCAGGACTTTTCAAGACGCCTTCCGTACTTTAATATTATAACCCATTCTTCACCAGTTTGACCCTGACAACACACTGCCATTACAACATAGTGTTTGCACGCACTTCATTACACCATTTGCCGATCTATAATACAAATATACTGTAACCTCAAAAATAAAGATAACACCTAACAACTCGTAATGTCACATTGTACGGAAGTTCGCTTGGTTATTCTCGTCTCATATTCATTTGTTTTTTATTTACTACTATGACCGACTATGACAGAGGAATTCAACCGTTTTGTGGGTGTTGCCAACGTTAAATGGAATTCTCGAAATAATTAGAATTTCCAAATACTGCTTCGTCGAATTAACTGTTTATTTTGTAAGTCCTTTTCTCTCTCTCTCTCTCTGGTTCGGGCCTTTGGCCGAAGTGACATGCCGTTCCGTCCCATTACAGCGAAGACTGCAAATTAGCGTTCTAACCTATCCACGTAATTCATACTAAACTTATGAAATAACCCCGAATCTTACATTCGCTTACATAATTGCTGTATGAAGCCAATGGTAGGAATAGTACTGTATTCACTAACATTTTGCATTATAATATGTGAGTCAAAACCACGCAATTTTTATCTAACAACACGAACGGGCCCACATAACATTTAAGTCCAGTGGACATGTACAAATCCACTTCCCTATATGCCCTCATGGTATAGAGCTTAATTTGTTAAGGGCACGGACAACTTTACCCTTTACCAGTGGATAATGAATTTTTGAATATTTGGTACTTGAACTGCACCACGTAATTCTGTCAACGTTATTCCACTGGATACAAATGCTTTCTTATGTACTGCACAGAACATAACACAACCATTGCAATTCCTTTGTATACGTCATTTCTTCACTGCTAGAATTAATTAATTATTATTAATAAAAATATTAATGCAAAGGGTTTGTCACCCCAAAACAATTTAATGATGTATAAAATACATTTAATATGCATCTTAATTCAATTATAATGATTATAAGCTGTACATATATATTTATAATTGTATTGTACTATATTAACTATGTGACTGGTTCTATATCTATGTATATGGGTTTATGGGATATACAATAAATGAATGAATGAATGGTAAAGAAAGTTGTCCCTGTGCTGAACTAATTAAGCACTATGCCATGAAGGCATATGGGAGAGTGGACGTATAGATCAAAGTTTCCTTGGCCTCGGCACTAGCTGGATGTGAGTGGTCAGCTTCACACCCCTGCCACTTTACCCTCGGGGAATGAGTCCCCGGTACCCATTGGATAGGAGGCTGAGTGGGCCCCAAAGAGAAAATTTGCATCTTGAAGTAATGGGGAATCGAATGACTCAGTGACAGGGCTTTTATGTGTACATTTCAAGAACTTATTCTAACCAATTTCTGGCATTTCTTTTTCCAAATTAATCACTATAAACAATTTATTTATGTGAATGTACCATTATTAACTAAGAAAATGCATGCAATGTACTGTACTAGACATAAGTTTAAGTAACAGGAAGTTTATTCTGATGTTTTCTTTAGCAGATCTCAAAAGACATTTCCATTGATTCTTATGGAGAAACTATATCTGAGTTATGCACTCTCATCCTGCATGACTTTTCTTTTAAATAAAATGGTTGCATAAATCAAAATCTTTCACATGCCAAATAGTCATATTTTATGCATCTGAACTTTAAGACACATATGTTTGGTTAAAATTTTTGTAAATCTTGACATAAACACTAAGTATGGCTTCCTGGATGGAACTATAAACATTTCACAATTCGTGTAACTCTTTTAAGCAGTTATCAGTATGTGAAATCACCCCTTAAAACCTAGAAGAGAAATTTTAGATACATATGGTGAGTAAGGGTTCTGTTCTTGAGAATTTCATTTACTTTTGTTAATATCACATAACAGGAAGCTGAATTCCCATTTGACCTGTTACAAATGCATCTGACAGCAAACTAAATTCCTTTTAAGCTGTTAAAAACTACGATGCTTGGGAGGCAAATCTTCAATATGATCTCTGACATTCAACTACTCGTGGTGATAATGAACACTGACATTTTTGTACCATTTATTAACATGCCAGTTTACACTCCACTTACAAGATTCTGACATGTTTCTGTGAGGAATTCATAGCCTGGGGAATTCTCTTGTGAATTTTTTCTGACACTTCCTAGCGGATTTATAATTCACATAATATTTGTATAGAACGCTGGATTCTCTAATGTAAATGTATCCATGTCAAACACAAAGGGAATCTTGCAAGAATGGCAACAAAATTATTAAAATTGTGACCTTAAAAAACCTTAGTCTGCACACTTTACAGTCACATGAGTCGGTAATTTCTGTAATTGTCAGCTTCTGTCAGTTCAAGGTGGACAGCCCGATACTGAGCTTGACATGGTTCAGGTTTTATTTGCACTGACATCTGAGCATACAAAACAACAGATACTAGAACCCACGAAATTCACATCATACACAGCAATTTCCACTCAGTGTAAAAGTTGGTGCATCCAGTGATGAGAAGTATTACGGGCCCTGTATTTTATACACATACAGTTAATTCTGAGAGATTTATAAAGGCAGACAATGTAAGTGAACAGCTACTTTTACTCTACAATGTAGCTCCAGTCTCATACCACTATAGTGGATATGCAGGAAAGGCAGCAACCCACACAATGAGTGCCTGCATGAGAAAACCCTGCCAAATTTACTCCCTTAGGGATCATATGGTAACTATTCATCTACAGAGGCTATGTAACCCACAGTGATGTATGCTGATACACAGAAGACAGATGAGGAAACAACACTGTTTTATTTCAACATAGTATTCTGGCACTGCCTGAAATTACTGAGGAAAATCACAAAAACCCTCGGCCATGATGTCATAATCCATCTGAAATCAATCACATACCTGCAGACATATGACTGATGCACCAACTTGAAGTAGTATGTCACTTGTCTAATCTCAGTTACAATTTGATAGGAAATTTACCAGATTAAAACAGCAAGTAATGTCTCCTCACCTAGCTTACTTCTAGTTTAGAAGTTTTACCAAATATGCAGTTTACCTGAACTTTTATGCCATAAATAACTAGTCAGATGCGGGTTCAGAATATACTTTATTAGCATTTTAGGGTGAGTATTTCCATCATGAAACACTTAGAGGCCTTCAAAAGACCTGTGAGATATATATATATATTAAATGAGGGTATGATCATTTCTTCATTATCAAATAATATAACAAACATAAATGTATGTTAAATAAGATATAAACAAATAAAAATAAATTTACATTTGAAGTTTTTACAAGATACAAACCTATGTAAAACAAAGTATATTATTTTACATCATTTAGCAACATGTAAGAACTGGATGACTTAAACATTAGATGAATTCGCCATCTACAGACCCATCATCGGATACTGGTGAAGAGATTCAGGACTGATTTATTCTCCTACAACAGAAGTTAAGAAACAATATGAACATTTTTTTTTAATTTTTATTAATATAATTTCATCTTAAAATGTGATCCATTAGAAAATATTTTTTCCAGTGAATAAATTGAGCACTCACCTTCTGTGAACGAGCCTTGCTGAACACATTCCAGAAGCGAAGGGTCTCATCCCCAGCACCAGTTACAATGGCTTCCCCATCAGGGGACATTGCCAGATACAGTACTCTGTATGAGTGGCCTGTGAGGTTTGCAACCTGCGTTAGGCTAGGATATTTCCATACAAGTATCTGGTTTTGAGAATAGCCATGGGTGCTGACCTGCAACATTTACAGTGGATCCTTTTTAAGAAGCTTTCCAAAGAACCAAGACATATAAAACATTTTAAAAGGGTAGGCTCCAGAATGTTTACAGAATTAGTTATATTGTTTGCAGAGAACAGAACAGACATTATTTTTAAACTGAATAAATAGCTAAGAACATAGTAAATACACAGGCTTTTTCAAATATACCCTAATGTTCCTGCTGTAGCGGTTAGAGTCAAAGAGTCTGTTCTCAAGTGTTAGACTTTCTTCAAGAACATATCTGGCGTCATTTGTTTCACTTATCCTTCAAACAAATCTGAAGCAAAATTTTCCAGTTCCTTGAGGTTTCTAACAATTGAATCTGGTACATCAGGAATGCCATTAAGGAAGTGGTGCTGCATACTGGTCCATAAATAACAACATTTTCCAGTTTTTGGCTGCCATTCTCCATTCCAAACAAGTTGGAACACCATGAACAGTGCATATGTAATCCATGCACTACTGCTATGTCTGTATGTATATAGCAGGGACTCCACAATGCTTGAAGCATCTTTACTTTCCTTGTTTTCCAGTTACCAACTTCGGCATCCTCTAAGACTCATCCATATTTGCACACACGAGTGCAGTAATTGTATATTTACGCCTATTTCTCCCACCATTGATAGCACGTTTTGTCTGGGAGAAGGATGAAAAACAGCAACCCACGATCTTCTACATTAATTACATGCTTTGGATGGCATTAACTCAGGGGTGATCAAAGCACTCCTGTCTTCCAGGAACCTACTTTCTCTTCAATTGCGCTTCCACATTTTCTGCTCATGGTTCTGTATCTACGCCCTGCACACCTGAGTTGATCAAGCCATCCTCTCAAAGGTGTGAATTCAATGTTTAGTTTAAAGGTTATTTCTTGAGTCTTCTGTCTTAACACTGGATACTGAATTGGAATAGATAATGCCCTTTTCTGCCTGGAACAGTAGTTACACGTGGCTAAGTATGTTTTTCCTGTTGACTGTAATATTACGAGTACTTAGCATTGACACTGGTATGCTAGGTTGTTCCTTTTTAATGATACCCACTTTCTAATAGACTGATAACACCTTACATTTCAGGATTATTCTTGTAGCCATGCATACAGCTATATATAATATATATTTTAACGTGTCTGGAATCCAGAAGAGTCACTTCTATGGAAACGCTAGAATAGACCGTTGCATACGAAACAACAATCGCTCTATTGTAGTTCTAACAGGAGTCTCCATGGTTATAACATAGGGTTCGTTTGCATACCAGCGACCGAGGTTATAAAATGGGGTTGAATGCATTCGCACAGTTAGTCTGGAATTAATCGCCAAGGAGGACAGTGGATAATAATTGTACTTGTGATTGTATAAGTGAAGTGTCCAATAAAGGCTCTACTGAATTTGAGACCTACGTGGATTTACTTGTTGCGGGACACACAGAAAACATGTAACAATATTTTCATGCAACTTCACAAAATTCAATGCATGTGCTCACCATATAACCTTGCACACAAAGACCACACTACCAACCAGACAGATCAAGAAGGTCAGACAGACACTGCTACTTCCACTAACTTCTATCACCCACCAAGCACAACAGACTGCCGCTAAGCACTGGGACACGTTTGATTTATGTGAGCATCTACTTTGTTTCTAATTTTTCTGTATATACAAAACATAATCTGATAAAAATTTGTTAATTGGGTAAAATGTCTGATAAGTGTCTTTAAAACTGCTCACCTTAGGCAGAATTTCTTTCTATGTAGGACATGCTTTAAATGCTATTATTCTTATTACTTCTGGGTCCCAATGATTTTAACATTTTAGGTGGGAAACCATTTTAAACATGATCTTCTTAAGTGGGATCACTTTAAGTAAATTCTCATGAACACACTGAGGACTGGTTACTTGGCTGCCAATCCCAGCTGTTAGTAACAACTATTATGAAAGAAAAATATCACTAAAGAGAAGCTCTTTAACTCCACATACTAATCCACATATGTGCTGGGAATCCACAACTGGACTCAAAACAGGCAAAGGGACTTATATCTGGGCCCCCTGCCACAAGAACAAAGGATCTGTTGAAATTAAACAGAGACCAATTAAGATGGGTGGTAGGACTACTTACTGGACACTGTCACCTAAAAGGTCACATTTTCAAACTGGGATTGACAGATAACCCAACATGTGAAAGGTGCCTAGAAGAAGACAATGAATCAACCACACATACCCTAGGTGATTCTGAGGCCATGGCTTGTTTAAGATTTCGTCATCTTGGCCAGTTCTTCATGGAACCAAGTGACTATTATGATGTCCCCCCTTAAATAAAGTCCTACATTTCATTTGAAGTGTAGGATTAATAAAGGGTTAATCAAAGGGAACCACAACAGATCACTGAAGGTCGTGGTGCAACGGCTGGATTTTCATGGCCCACTCCTTATACATACATACATACATATATATTGTAACGTGTTTTGCGTTACCGAAGACGCCGTAGAGATGGTTAATTGGTTTATTTAACAATCTACAAGTAACGGCTTGGCCGCTGTGGTCACGTCTGCTAATTTCGGTGTTAGACCCGGGGCTGGTTGCTGCCCCACCTCGGGCAAAGCCACGAGTGTTACTGGCTCACAGTGCGCCAGAGGAGATCCTCTCCTGAGCTTTTGGTCCTTGTGGGTAACATTCATGACCCTTACTGGTACTTCTTGACAGTCCTGAACTAGGGTCCTGGCCACGTAAATTCCTTCAGGAGGGT